GTAATAATAATAACTTTCATCCTCTTCTCCTCAAGGCATTTGGTTTCATTAACCTGATCCTGTGGGCGGGAAACCTATGGTTCGTCTTTAAAGAGACAGGTATCATCGCTCCCTTCATGCGGGCTCCTCCTCCAGAAGGGAAACCTGCTGCACCAGATGCCTACGCCCAGCAGGGGGCGTACGAACAAGACCCGTATGCCAGCAACCAGGCGGGATACCAACCCGACTACAGCCAGCAAGGATACAATCAGGTGATCAACTGACCTGCTCCTGCTGCTAATTAATACTCGGTGAAACTATACCAGAAGACTTTGTCTTAGTGTAGCCAGAAACATTTTGAAATGAATTCCAACACAAGGGCTATGATGAAATTACTATTACTGAATTACTACAACTGTACTCAAGTAAAGTACAAGTACCTATAATTTGGTACCGTACTTGTACTATAGTACACAGTATTAGTATGGTAGAGGATAAAAAGTGGAACTGGGACACAGCCACAGTAAACTGTTCTACTGTCAGACTGTAGTACAGTCACTCAGTGTGTTGTTGTTTGTGTCCTCCAGGATGCAGAGTACGGTCAGGGCTACGGCCAGCAGGGGGCGCCCACCTCCTTCTCCAATCAGATGTGAACTGACAGGAAGCAGGTGAGTCCACCTTACGCATTAGTTTTAGTCATTTCAATGGAGTCTGGTGATGTTCAGACTCAAACCAACAGTGTTTCCTCCTGTTTGATCAGAACTACAGTGAACAGCAGAAAATAACCGTCTCCTTCTACAAGTATTTAGACTCAGTCCCACACTCACCATCCAAATACTCACCACAGCACCGGAAGGGTATGGTTGGTAGGACAGAGGTGTTTTTAAAGGTTTACATCTTCAGTGGGAGCCACAGAGGACAGGAGTTCTGGTTTAAGTATAGTATGGTTTTCACCATGTGTTGTTCTAATTACCATGGTTACAGGTTTCGTTCATGTCATGTGAGGTTACTGTTGACTATAACCACATGCATGTGACCCTGCAGTGATACAAGACTTTATTCACTGTTCTGTGTGAAAGATGTAAACACAGAATGGGCGGGGTCATAGTTGTTCCTCCTTTATACCGGCAGTGGAGTTCGTCACAGTGCCAGACCAACGTCAAGCTGTCATGGTGGGACAGACACCAGTGCATTTAGGGTGTGTCCATTTCACTTTTGCTATTTTAATGGCAGAAAAAACAGTCACTACACCAGGCACATGGCTCAAAGGGTTGTACTTAGTCTCTCAATTATCCATGGTATTCATTCATGGTTATTCAGTGTGTTTGGCACAACATCCAATAAACCAATCACAGTGCCATCTGCCATTCCCTTTAAAAGCCAGGCGTGCTTGCACCTTGGTGGATTGCTATTATAATGGTGTAGTGTTTCACACAGAGTTAGATTCTATTTGTGGTCAGTTGATTACACATTGTGACTGACCAGTAAGCCCAGTCCTGGCACAGGCAGCTGCAGCTCTGGGAATTGTTAGGTCTCTGTAAATATTATTATAAAGAGAAGGTCCAGTGCAGGCCTGCACTATTTGGAAAGTGCCTTGAGATAACTTATGTTGTGAATTGACTCTATACAAATAAAAACTGACTTGACTGAACGTTACAACACACAACATGTCACAAAGAAGCTCTGACCTTCTGAGGCTGTAGTGTAATGTTCCACCTGACTTATCCCAATATCTAAGTACATTTTCAGCTCACTCTGCTTGTGTGTAACAAGTGTGGCAGAGTGCATGCGCTCTGTGTGCCTGTTTATGTTGGCACATATTACTCTCTTGACCACGGCCCTTAAAATGACAGTGAAATTCTGTACCACTGACTTGCGACTGGGTTTTTGCTGGTCAATCGCGCAATGGCTTATCACTGCGTCAAGATAGCAAGCCGCCAACAATGCACCTGACCAAATCTCCTTTTAAGATAAGCGCAAGTGAATTTGCTATTTAAACAACGCGAGTGCTGGACAAGATAATGACTACTACATTGGTCTGAAAGTAACAAAAACACTTGTGTTGCGCTTTGGGCCGCTTTGTGCCAGGTGTAAGATAGAGCCCTCACTCTGGATTCAGCTTGAGACCAGCAGTGAAAACCTTCATCAATCTGCTGTAAACACCAAACCTGCCCCACTGTCAGTAACATTACTGGTACATCACAGGCCCCTGATGATGTTAACGTTCAGTCTTTAACTGTAACGGACATGATGCTGCTGATCATTGTGACTAAATTAGCTTTGGAAGCAAAGAGTGTTGGGCCTCAGGGGAAACATTTTGTCCAGTCAGCAGCAATCAGCCAATTTATCCATCTTATTATCAGTGTTAATTAAAGAGACTGAACTGTCCTTTATGTTTCTGCGTTCCTTCACAGGAAACGTCGGAGTGAACCGAGAGTGGGTCGCCTGCAACCTACCCACAATGCAACACTCCTGTCTGTCTGCAAAGTTAACGGGTGGGGTGGGGGGTGGAGTGAGGGAGGGGAAGGGGATGGAGGTTGAAGGGGGGGGGGGTTTAGATGTTCACTATAATGAATCGATGTGTAAATGATTAAAAAGAGTCTTATAACTAACAAATCCACAACTTGAACAAAGAACTACAACAACAACAACAACAGCAAACAACGCTGACGGATAGAAACCTTCTGAAACAGTGACAATGTTGATAAGAGTTAAATTCATATTAATCTGTGGAGAGAATGTATGTTTGTGTTGTATAGATATCACTTTGAACAGATATATAATATAGACTGAACTGTTTCTTCATGTTTCCTATTGAACCCCGCCCCGTCATATGCCCCGCCCCCAACATCAACAAACCAGATTCACATCGGCCAGTCACAAAGCTGTTCAGACTGGGTTCACAAAGATCCAAACCAGACACAAACTAGATTCGAATCAAATGAGAATCAGATCAAACCGGATCCAACCCTGCCTCCACCAACATCACCTCCCAGCTGTTTGCTGTTTGTCTTGCTGCATGTAAATATCAACACAGGAAGTGATGTCATCCTGGAGACGCAGTAAACCCAGTCTGGACTCCAGCTTCATGGCGACACCGGGTGGAAACTGGATCCAAAATGGCTCCTTGTCACTACGGTTTGCACTGTGTGTGTTTGATTAATGGGCTCAGCTGGAGCTTTGTTCTGTCTGTTACATTCCTGCTGCTGCTCAGTGGAGAGGCCGCGACCTGCAGACACGTCCATCTGAAATATGACCATCACAAACCAAACCAACATCAGATCAGATCATTCTACTTTCACAGATCTAAAACATCAGAGTTTTTCTCGTTGCCGGGCAACTGTGGTCGAGGGATGGTGACATTCCTTCGCTGCATCAAAACTGTTTCTGTGGTATCTTGGTTTGGTATCTAGTCAAAGTATGAACCAATGACTGTGTGTAAAGATGGATGGCATTACAGCTCCCAAAAATGAAGCCAAAACAGTTAGGCTACCACACACTGACTGACCCTTGTTAAAATGTCAGGTAAAGGTAACGGTTCAGACGGACATGTCTGTGCTCTCCTCGGCTCTCAGCCAATCAGCAGCAGCCATGAGCTGTTTTTGTAAAAAACTCTATGCTTCTTCTTTGGTTGTTTTTTTGGAAAGTGAAGCTGTTTTTAGCGTCGGTATCTTCCTCCGCATGGTGACGTGTTTCCTGCTCGTGTTGTACAGTAAATGATGATCGGTGTGATTCTACTTCCTGTTCTCCTGTACAGGTGTGTGTGTGTGAGTGTGTTACCTGTCCATACTTCTATTATATCTCTCCATCATTCTCGCTTTTTTTTTACCTCTATTCTTTCCTTCAACTCTTCATCACTATTTATTTCTTTACTTTCTTTACTCTGTCAATATTTTCTTTTTTATCCCTGGTCCCCCTTTCTCCTTTTCCTTCCTTTTATCTCCTGTTCCTAACTTGTTCCCTCCTCTTCTCTTCCTCCTTATCCTCCCTTCCCTCCTCTTCCTCTTATTTTTAATGTTTTCATTTTTTTCTTGTCCTCCCCCTCTCTCTTTCTTCCAGTCGCGTTCTTCTTCTTGTCGTTCTTCTTTGTGACTCTCCTCTTTGCCTCTGTGATGTAACTTCCTGTGTGATGATATTCTACTCAGCATCAGTAACCATGGCCATGGTGTTGACAGTGTTGATGATGACGATATGTGTGTGTGACTTGTTGCTATGGAGACGCCCCCAAACCCCACCCCAGCCCCTCCTCTCCCTCTTGTGTTTATTCAGTGGAAAATTTCAATAAACGACAAACTCGTCTCTGATTCTGTGTCTGTTCATGAAGAGAGTGAAGGAGTGAATGAATGAATGAATGAACGAACATGAGCAGACAAATGACTAGATTAACATGTTTTAAAAAATGAGTAAAGAAGCCAAGAAACTAATCCAAGGACAAATTAATGGATGAATACACAACAAATAAATGAATGAATTAATAAAAGACCAGACAGGTGAACAAATGAATTAATGAAAAAATGAAGCAAGGAACAATCAGATCTATGAACAAATATACGAATGACAGTGAATGAACTAATGAACAAACAGAAGTATGTTAGTGAGTGAGTGCCCCTTGAGGCACTTCACAGAATGAGTGAATTAATTACTCCTCCCTCTCTTCCTCTTCTTTCATCTCCCTCCTCCACCTATATAGCTCCCCCCTTCCTTCATCTCGCCATCCTCCTCCTTTCACTCATCTAGTTTCTCCATCCATTCTTCCTTACTCATCTATTTTTCTCTCCTCTCTTCCTCCTAGTTCCCCCCTCCTCTCCCATCCTCTTCTCCTCCCTCTCCTCTTTCACTCCTCTCCTCACCCTCACCCTCTTCCCCTCCCTCCCTTAGCTCCTCTATATTATATTCGCTATCTCTTGCCTCCTTTCCTTAGTCATCACTCCTCCCTCTCCCTCCCTCCCTCTCTCTCTCTCTGCCTCTCTCTCTCTCTCGCTTCATCACTGTAGCACCTCCCTCCCCCCGCCCTCCCCCCTCCTCTCCCTGTTATCAGATGGGTGTATGTAGACGGAGTCAGTGTGTGTGTGTGTGTGTGTTCAGTCAGTAGCATGGCGTCTCTCGGCCTCCTGCTGCTCAGCACCGCTCTGATCCACACCGCCCAGGTAAGGACGAGTCTTAGCCTCCATACAGAGACAGAGAGAGTGTGTTTACATGTGTGTGTCATATGTGTTAATTCATCGTCATCTTGTTGTGTCGTCACGGTATAACCTGATCATCATGCAGAATGATGTCGCTGCTGTTTATCCTCTACCTGTCTGTCAGCGCTGTTACATCAGCGCTGTGTGTGTGAGTGCGTGCGTGTATTTATCTGCTTTTATGTGTGTTCTATTTTCCATTTGATGTATTGGTTATTGATTTACTGATCAGGACAATTGGTGCAGGGAGAAGCAGAGACATTGAGAGAAGACTGGCTTATTCGTGTGTGCGTGCTTGTGTGCGTGCGTGTGTGCAGTAACTGTGACCGAAAGAACATTTCGTTTCAGCTCCTGTCACCATAGCGACAGGAGACAGTAACCCACGGCAACAGGCCCAAATATTACACAGGTTACAGTAGGTTTCCTGACAACCGCTGTGTGTGTGTCTGTGTGTGTGTGTGTGTGTGTGTGTGTGTGTGTGTGTGTGTGTGTGTGTTGAGAATAATGATCAAGTAAATATTAACATGATACATGATGTAATTAAAGTGCTGATGAAGCAGGAAACTGGACTGTGTGAGTGCTGCACTCGCGTACATTAATGTAGTGTCCAGTGTTCTTAATCCTGGGTTTATTGTCATAGATGAGGTTCATCCACAGGACTGACCTCTGACCTCTGACTCAGTGCTTTAAATGATTCATATAAAACTGAAGGGAAACTTTAGTACTGCTTGAGTTAGCATAACCCAGAGTCAGAAGCTGTGTCCCAATTTAGGAGCCGTATCCTTTGAAGACTGATTGTGTCACAGCGGTATGACTAGACTGTCCCATTTCAAAGGGTCCTTCAAATGCGTCCTTCTATTCCTGGACAACGAAGGCTCCAACAGTTGTATCCTTCGTGGGCCAACCTATCCCAAGAGTCCTTGCCCGTCGGTAATGAAAATAATACGGCAGAAAACAACACTGACAGAGAGCCTGAGGATTACACTGTTAAATCTAAGTATTGGGTTTCAGCTCAGTTCAACAGCTAACGATGTTGTCAAGGCTCCTAGGTGACAGGAGCTGCACTTTACAACGCAACAGTAAGGGCGGAACAGGTGGTGACACACAGCGAAAATCCTCCATAGACCAGACCGTCTCATTTCAGTTTGGCCTTTGCAGACTATGACGGCTATGAAGAGCCACAATTTCGTAGACCACGTCCTCTGAAGGATGCGGCCCCTGAACAGGGACACAGCTAGAGAGGAATGAGAGAGATGATTTAATATTGGTTCTGTCTCATGTCTCATAGTCAGCGTTGATGTTTTCAGTATATAACCCAACTAGTCCTCAACAACCACACAGGTTGTTTGTTCCAATCCTCTGATACGACCCCACAGGGCCGTCTCCTGATATAGTGCCCCTACAGCAGCTTGGTTGTCATGGTTACAACAATGAACACGCAGAGTATACCGACAGCAGCGTACCAGACCCTAGATCAGACCAACATCAGATCCTCTCACTGACTTCATCTTCCCTATGTCTGTTGACTTAGTTCAGACTCCCCCAATGCTGCATTCATGAGCTGTCTCCTTAAATAAATACAAACTCATGTTCAGTAACGTGACTCCGCCCTGTTCCAACTAACGTTATTCCACGTTCAGACAAAGTGAAGCTGGTGATGTGGACAACACAAACACTGAGTCTCAGGCTGCGTCCACACTGACACATTTTGGTTTTAAAACACATCACTTCTGCTACGTTTCTTCCTGACGTTCACACAACTCAACCTGTTGTAGTCGAAAACTCCAGGTTGTGTTGGAGTCTGGACAGACAGACTACTCAGAAACCTGCTTCTCCTCCTAATTGGATCTCATCAGTCATGACTACCAGACAGTGGTGAAAAGTGACATGGATAGAGGCCAAAGGTTATACAAAAAACATGTTCAATCACCTGGACACAATCACACTGTAGAATATGAAGAGAGCATGACTCAGAGAGACAGTGATGAGCACCAAAGTATCATTAGTCATTATCAAGGTAAGTTAGAAATAATTTGGACGACCCTATAGCTGAATGGTTACGGTCTGAACAGCGAGTCCCAGGTTCGAGCCCCAGCCGGTTGAACCACTTGCTGCCTGTGTTTCCCCTTTTCCCTCTGTCTCCACAGCCGCTGTTGAATAAAGATTAAAAAATAACTTTGTTTGAAAAAATCGTGATAATGATTTGAAGTCATATCACTGAGCTCTGCTGCTGACTCATCCACCACAACCTCCTCCTGATGTGGACTGTCTCTCTTTACACTACGTCACCCCAATTTTCCCTTTGCTCCTGCCATAATGGCAACGGCCACTTGATGTTGCCTAACAACAAAACCTAAAGGTTATAATAAACTGCTGCACAGAGGATTTATGGGGTTGTTTGTTACAGGACAGTCTCATTTAACCATAAAGACCTCCACCTTTCTAAACTAGAAAAATGTGAAATCATGCTTCAGTGTCAAGAGATTTGTAGGAAAACAAATAAAACAGCAATGTAAGTGAACAGGTAATTTAATTGTTGCTGTTTCATTAGAGGGACTGAGGAGACACAGGGAATAAAAACATCAGACATCATCACTTATCCAGTTTCAGGCTGGATTTTAATCAAAGTTCTTGTCTGGATCTTTGTGTTTAGACATTCAACAACAAAGATTATATAAATAAACAACTTTGTATTTCTCAAAGGAAAATGGACCCAGGTATCATTTCTATCCAGCTCTAACTCCTGCAGGAAAAAATGAAGCTGCAGTGAGTCAGACAGAGTGATGCCCCTCAGAGGACTCATTATTACCTCCTCCTCCTCCCCCTGCACTGAAGGCTCAGCTTCATAAATCTGATGTTAGTGTTTCTGTTTATCTCTGACAAACAGCAGGAAATGAATGAACCTGAGACAACAGTTTCTGCAGGGTGATGACTCATCATCATCTTCATCATGTTCTCCTGTGTGTGTGTGTTCCTGTTGTGTGAACTGAGGTGTGTGTATTCTAGTTGTGTAAACTGAGGTGTGTGTGTTGTAGTTGTGTTACTGGCTGTGATGTGAGCTGCTGTACAGATTGTTGTGTCTCATGTCTGATCGTCTATGTTTACACTGGACTACAGTGGACAACACAAAGATCAGTCACCTCCTGTTTCAAATGTGTCCGATTTCATCTAGTTCTTTACTGGTTCAGACTGTTTTGACTGTTTATTGGTTGGTGGTCCTGAGAAGTACAGACATATAAACCTGATCAACCTGAAGCTACAGATTCATCCTGATCAATAGCTGTCTCTGTCTGTCCTCTTTTTTAACATAATCTCTCTCTCTCTCACACACACACACACACACTCACACTCACACTCACACTCACACTCACACTCACACACACACACTCACACACACACACACACTCACACTCACACTCACACAAATTTAAGACCAATCAAATTAGTGGAGGCTGGAACAGAACAGCTCATTACACCACCATGGCAACAGCACATCTCAATGGACAATGACACACATACACACACACACACACACACACACACACACACACACACACACACAGGCTTACTGTAGTTACTGTAGTGTAAATGTCTCAGCTGAAAGCTGAAATCTCTCTTCACGCCTGGCAGACTCTGGTCTGAGACACACACAAAATTAATCCAGCTCATGTGTATAATGATTGAATTATCACAACAAACACAGACAGCAAACAAAAATGTCAGTACATCTATCAGCTATCCTGCCAAACATTCAAGGAACAAACATCAGTAATAAACCGTGTAAAACAAAAAGCACAGCAGTTAAGAAAATTAATTTCAGAAAGTAAACTGGAACAGCTAATATGTTTACAATCCTCAAAACAGATTTCAAAAATACAACTCATACAGCGGTTCAGACATTTCAGTAACATCACGACAAAACATGTCACAAGCCACGTTTGTTTCCATAACAACAGTTACCACATCTACTGCGGTTAGCATTACAAGGGGTTAGCGTAAGGTAGCTAGCTTAACCGTCGTCAGTTATTTTACTTAATTACTCCACAAAAAACAAACATAGTCGATCTACCTGAGTGTGAACACACATTTATCTAACACAATCACAGCCACGGACTGTTATCATGAGGAGACTCCTACCTGAGAAGAGGTTTGAGTCACACACTCTCTTCAGTTCAAGTGTGTAATGACTGACAGGAGGACGCTCACCTGGCTGACGTCAGTCAGGTGAAGCTCCGGTCTGACTGCCACCGAAACGCAGAGTCCGTGAGCTCATGAGGTTTATTTTCTGACAGTACTCGGGAGCTTCAACACACTCCCCGTCAGTCTCTACGTTCACGTGATGTCGGGATAATCGGAAAAAACCGGAATTGGAACAACTCAACATCTCTGGATCCGCCCTTTCAAGCAGATCATCACGCTTGAAGGAGCGCTTAGTTCAGTGCAAATCGGTTCAGGACTATTTGTGTAAACCTGCTGACAAACAAACACACAAATAAACACACAAACAAACAAACAAACAAACAAACAAACAAACAAACAAACAAACACTGGTGAAAACCTCTGGTAATCACCATCGCGTTAATTAAAGTAACACCTGCTCTCAGACTTCATTGTAATCATTAAAAATACTCATTAAAAATAGCCTATATAGGTAGGTGACGAGCTTTCTCAGCCGTCAGTCATGTCTGCAGGTGTTCATGTAAGACACCTGCAGTCCCAACAGGCTCCAGCAGGGAAGCCTCTATGTAGCCTGAGAGACAAACCCCAGGGGAAATATTATGTTAATCACTCACTGCACCACTTTGCTGCTCGTTAATCTTCCCGCCCTGAGCTCAGACCTGAAGGAGGCTCTGATGAACCAGCACGCTCTTGGGTTCAGACCAGGACCCTGAGATACTAATACGCACGGTTCACTGTGTGTGTGTGTGTGTGTGTGTGTGTGTGTGTGTGTGTGTGTGTGTGTGTGTGTGTGTGTGTGTGTGTGTGTGTGTTTGAGAGAGGGAGAGCGCGAGAAAGAATCAGTGTGGACAGGGCTGCCTGAAAAGGCTGAAACCAGAAGAGGCTAGAGCAGTACATTAATGAACATGGTGTCCACATACTTATGGCCATGTGGTGTAGCAGTATCGATACTGCTATGGTCAGATTTGTCTGCAGGGTGGAGCCTCTCACTCAATAAAAGATCTGTGGTCCGGCTCAGACAGACCACAGAGCCTGAGGGGGAGAAGAAGGGGGGGCAGGAATAATTCAACTAACCCTTCTCAGGCTGAGTGTGTGTGACTCAGCTCTGACTCACAGGAAGTACAGTGATGATGATGATGATGATGATGACGATGATGATGATGAGGCTCTAGTCTGTAAAGCAGCATCAGAGACTGTGCAGACACAGGCAGGTTTTAGTCTCGTCCTGAGCGCTGAGGTTACAGACATGAACCTCACCAACCACCCCTGACTCTCAGCCTTCAGCAGGACATTAGAGTCATCTTTTCAAAGTAAGAGTCTGCTTAACAACAGCTGGAGAGTCAGGATTCTTCACTGAATTCTTTGGTTGTGTGTTGACTTCCATGAGGTCTGGGATTGTTTGACTTCTCATATAATGGACAACCCTTTCAAAATAAGAGCAGAGTTGGGATTAACATGATGGTCTCCGGTCTCAGACTCTGAGTGGAGACCAGAACAGCAACAAGTCCAGGACTGAACCCTGGGGCACACCTGAACAAATATTTACTGTTTCTGAACAGAGCCACTTAGATGAAAGATATTACCACGACAACAGTCAAAGTGAGGGTCATGTGATGACTCATCTGATGAGCTGAAGTGTCAGTGTGTAGTTTTCAGCAGCAGTAGAGAATGTACCTGTTCTTCAAACAGAGTAAAACAACACAAAGACAAACAACCTGACATGTGACACCTGACATAAGATATAAAAACTGTGATCATCAGAGAAACAAACTTGTAGCAGTGAACCTCCAAAGTATGACATCAGACCATCATGAATAATCACAACAACAATCTGAAAGCCACGTGTGGATCCCAACATCGTACAATTTTATTATCACAGAGTTTCTCATGTCTCATGTTTGGCCTGTCAATTAGCTGAAGACTCTGTTCACAACATCTTTAGAAGAATGAAGATGAGGAGGACACAATACGATTATCAAACAGACATCATTATTAATCATCAATAACCTGTTCGTACTGAAATTTAAATAAAAACAATAAGGTGGTTGTCAGATGAAATTATAACAGCCCACAGTTTCAGCACCATCATACAACTGAGTCTCTTCCTCACACAGGTGAGGGGTGGAGCTTTAGTCATATTTTAGCTACTATAACTCTTTATATAATTTTATCTCTCCTGTTTCATGAAACACCTGTGCAGTACAGGTACTGAGTCATTAATGCTCAAGTAGTGACCTCTGACCTCTGACCCCTCTCTCTCAGTCTCTACCTGTAGCTCGCGGCGGAGGGCATGGCCTGGACGCGTCATTGGTCAGACGCCAGCGCAGAGACCTCCGAAACCTGCTGCCTTATGAGGAAAAGATGATGTCATATCCTGCCATGCAGGAAGGGGGCGGAGCCAATGACCTGTACTACCAATTAGATGACTGGAGGGGGAGGGGCTTGGACCAGGCCCTGCAGCGATTAGTGGAGAGAGACCAGAGGCGGGAACAGGAAGAGGAGCAGCGAGCAGGTTTTAAATTTTATCTGTTCAACATATAATGACTTTTTGTTGACAGTGACACTGATTAATCATCACACTGTCATTTACTTGTTTACCTGCTGCTCCCTTGTAAGGCTCAGGTGTGTAATAGCATAACTGATCTCAGAACAGTAGAAGCTGAGTCAATGACAGCTTGATAAACACATGTTAGCTATCGCTAGTCACTCTCAAAGATCCAGGATCATTCTCAATGAGCAAATGTCCAACAAACACTGCTCCAGTCGTTTGTCAGCGAGACATGGTCACACCCACAAAAATGACAGAAAAGATAGATACAACAGCCTGAAGTCAAGCTACCTTCAGAGACAATACCCTGCTGCCACCTCAAGAGGACAGTAAATTACATCATGGATACTTGATGAGACAGACTCTGTTCTGAGATCAGATGTAAGGAGAGATATCAGTTGACTTCTATTTAATCTTTACTGACACTTCTCAACCAACTACAACTTTTCTTAACATAATTCTTTTCATTGAAATAATTTAAACATTTTGTGTTTGTTGTTGAAACCTCAGATGTTTTTATGTTTCTCTGATTAAATTATCAGTTGGATTTAAATCAATCATTTCATCATCAATAAATCCTGTATTTGTTTAGAGAAATAGAAAACATAACTAATGAACCAATCAAATGTCTCCACAGCCTACCTGGCTGCTCTGCTCCGCCTCCTGAGTGAGGCAGAGAGCGCAGGATTGGTTGGCCCAGGAGACGTGGAGGTGGTTGAGGAAGAGGAGGATGAGGAGGACGATCAGGGCCCACCGGGGGACTTCCAGGGCCCAGTCCCCCCAGACTACGATGAGACGGGGCAGGGGATGAGCATGGGGAGGCCCCCTGCTGCCTGGTTGGGGCTCCTGGAGCCCCAGCTGGCTCAGGCCCTGTTGGACAGGTGAGGAAGATGAGGGGTGGGGTCTGACAACATGTAAGTAGGTCCCAGAGTTATAACATGTGACCTGTGGTCATCAGGATGGAGCCTCAGCTGGTCCAGACTCTGCTGGAGAGAGGGAGACAGGAGAGAGTCCAGCAGGCGGGACGAGTCTCGTCAGGACTGAACAGAGACCAGGAGACACTGAGGTCAGTCACACACAGAGGGACTGAGAACTGAATTGAAGTTACACTGATCAATCAATTTATATTAGGAGGAAGATCTTGTCAAGGCTGTAATTCATTAATATTATGAGAATTAAGTTGTATTAAGTCAAGAAAAAAATTAATATATAAACAAATCACATTAAATGCATATTACTACTTTTTTCCTCATAATATTTTTTTCAAAATATTTATAATACATTTTTTGTAAAATAGTACAAATTTCATATGACGGCTTCTTCATCATCATCATCATCATCATCATTACTACTTTTAAAACTTTTCTCTCAAAAACATCTTACAACATCTTGTGTCTTGTATCTTGTATCTTTCTGTTGTATGTTACCAGCTCTTCAGCCATATTATTTTAATCCCATTATCTCAAGATGACAAAGCTCATTATCCCGAGATAACGAGATATTATCAGGAGAAAACGATTTTTTGTCATTCCGAGATAATTAGATAATTATCCAGTTATCTCAAGATAACAAAGCTTGTTTTCTTGTTATAATGACTTTGCTAATCACAGATCGGATGTGCCAAGCCAGTAGGCTTCTAGTGCTGTTAACTGAAAATGTCAGGACTACACATTGATCAACGCATAAGAGATTATTTCAATCAAAGGTTAATTGAGGCATAAATCACATTGTGTCTTTTTGTACAAAATCATTATCAGATCAGCTAAGGAGTTGCTAAGGATTGTTGCTAAGGAGGAGTGTTACTGTGACTTAATGTATGAGGCTTAGTCAAAATCATTTTCTCCTGATAATATCTCGTTATCTCGGTATAATGAGCTTTGTTATCTTGAGAGAACGGGATAAAAAAATATTCACATGTATGGCCTTTCTCAGCTTCCATACAGATTTTCTTTTATATCTTAAACATTTTTTGGGACTTATCACACTCACCTTGTTATGATTTGTGTTTTTGAAATATTGCGACTCTTTTCTCTAAATGTTATACTGTTGGTGACATGTTCTGACTCATTTAACAAGCTGCCAACAAGCAACTGTATTGTACAAAATGTGTCAATTCTTTTCTTGTCAGCTGCTAAAAAAACCATTTTTTTCTAAGAAAAAAAAAATATATATAAAACAATAGTTTAATCTTTAATCACAAAATATTATCTGTGTTTTCCTGACACACCACACCTTTAGTTTCCACCTGCACAAATATGAGCACTAACTGTACCTGTATGGCTCCTCCTCCTCAGACGCCTGGTTGCTAGGATTCTGTCCAGCATTGGCCCTAACGACGCCCCGGTAATTTCCTCCGGCCGCCGAGCGAGGAGGGACCTGTCCATCACCGCAGCTGAACCAGTTAGCTCTGCCCACAGGAGAACCCGCCGTTCCGTTGACGACGTGGCTCCTCCGTCGCCTAGCAACGAGCCTCCCCTCCTCAGGGTGAAGAGGCTGGAGGAGGACGAGGAGGAGGAGGAGCTCCGCCCCCCTACTGCCGGGCTGCAGAGGATGAAACGCATCAACACCATAGCTACCGCCGGCGTGGAAGAACTGAATCATGGGAGTCGTAGGCGCCGGAGGAGAGCAGCCCTGAACTACGACCCCCAAATATTGATTGATCAGATTCTGGAGTACATGAGGGAGTGAGCTGAGAGGAGAGGAGAGGAGAGGAAACAAGGAGAGGAGAGGAGGAGGTGTATTCTGTCGTCTTTCAGGTTTTTTATTTTCAGTTTCTGTAAAAAATGTTTTGTTTGTTTTTGCTGCTTTTGGTGAAAAATATGTCTGATCATTTGTTCTTAAAGAGGAGAAATGATGGAGGAGGAGGAGGGGGACAAGTTCTTTAAACTGTGCAGGAGGGTTCCTGTAGAGGACGATCTTTATAGACAGGTTGAGTTGAGGACTAGCTTTTGCAGACTCTGAGGTCACAGCCTGTTGTTCCATAGTTTAACTGTGAAACTCATCCAAGTGAAAACAGAGCTGTGGAGCTGTTGTGTTTATACGTTCAAGGCAGTTGGTGATTTCCAGAGGAATCTCTGTGAGAGGGAAAAGCTGCTTTGGCTCAGTGACACTTATTTTTTCCAGCTAATTTCCTGGAAACTTTCCTGACCATTTCCTCAAAATGATCTGGTATTTATCTGTTAGATCAGCGTAACATGCAGATGTGGACTGTGTCTCCAGGCAAAGATACAATTCAACATAAACTGTATGAAGAATAAAGTTTCTAATAATAAATAACATATTAATATTTACTTTGTTTAAATGGAGAAGTTTTGAAAGTAAATTCCTCTGGAAACAACTAAACTCTCTCACAACTTTATTTGACCCGTAATCAGCACTAAACTACACAGTATCTGCTTTAAACACTACAGTATCCATGAGCGTCAGTGGCTGTTGCTATGGTGAAGTGCTGTAGTATATTCCCTGATCCAAAATCTAACAGTGAACTGATTTAAGTTTCTTTACAGATAAACATAACCTAACAGATAAACTCTCTGATTGGATGATTGCAGCAATGCTCCCTGGGACTTGTAGTTCACCCCACCCACTCTCCTGCTCTCTATAAAACAGTAGTAATTTTAAACATTACCCACTGAAAACACCTGCGCTGGGTAAGGCTTAAAGTGGCAGTAACCATGGTGCTGGCTCATCAGCTCTGTGATTGGTTGGTTCTCGTTGTGTTCATGTACTCCAGCTTGTGTGCAGCAGCTCTGTCAGTGTGAACCTTCGTCTGTCTGTGGTGAAACTAAAAATTTTATTTGTCTCTCTCTGAAATAAAGTCAGATGCACCACAAACTGTTTTAACTTTTTCCTTCTGTCGGCTGCAGATATATTGTATAGATGACCACAATGAGTGGTCATTATTCAAAGCTAGACAGTTAGCTAACAGTGCTAACTAAACACAGGGGTTAACCTTTCCTGATTATTTCATGAAGAGCCACAAATTTACTGTAAAAATGCAACAAGCACAAACTAAACATATCAGAACCTGAACAATATTCATTACACTAACAGAGTGAGACAGGTTAGCTAACAGATTACAGCTATGCTAGCTATCAATCAAGTCACGTTAGACCTGATTTGCAGCAAAACAAACTAATTATTAAGATTGTATCAATAAAAATAAATACTCACGAACAAACAGTTTCTATGGCAACAGCGCTGAAGACCAATAGCAGCAGAAGAAGCAGTCACTTGCTCTCCTACTACTGCTGGTATATACAGTTACACACATAAACATTTCTTAATATTTGCTTATAGCTGCATTACAGCCTGTTATAAACCATTTATTAAATATCTTTACACTGATTAGTAATGTTAAAAAATGGGACTAAATGTAAATTCTTAATGGTTTATTTACCTAGAGACGTAGCCATAAAAACACTTGAAAAACACAGATACACGATCACATTAAACAAATTCAAAAACATGTCGATCTCCAGATTTCAAAATGCTTTGATAAATTGTGGTTCTATACAGTTCTACATGCTCTATGAAAATAAAATCAGTTCAACTGAATCTAATAACAAGGCAACATTATCTATAAACAACAAACAAATGTTCAGCCTGGAAGTGTCAGTGCAGGGAAAACTGAACAATATGTTTAATTAATGTGCCTTAAAGGTCAAAAGTCATGCTGACATTTTAGATAAGTTATCCTGTACTCTGTCTACTCCAGAGTCATGTTTCAGGTCAATCTCATCTTGTTAGCTTATCTTAGCACAAAGATTGGAAGCATGTTAGCAATCCAGTTAATCAGCAGTTCATTGTGTAGTCAGCTAGCCAGGAGCCAGGGGTTAACACTAAGAAGCTAGCTAGACCTGAAGCTAATGCTATGCTAACTGCACTCAGAAGTTAATGCTATGCTAACTAGACCCAGACACTAACTGGATCTTAAAATAATTCTAAGCTAGGTGGACCCAGAAGTTAAATGGATCTGAAGCTATATACGAACTTAAACCAGAGGCTAACTCTAAGCTAACTGGACCTAAAGCTAACTCTAAGCTAACTGGCCATCGCCGACATGATACAACCTGTAAATCAGACAGAGTGCATCCGCGTCTGATGATAAAGCTAATGATACCAATCTGTAAAGTTTGAGCTATGTATCTAGGTCACTGGGTTTTGACCCCTGTTGACAAACTGACAGCTAACACGACACAGCATGTAAATCATACATGTTGCTAACTGTTTGAAACATTTGCTGTAACATTTTAATGTTGCTGGTGGCTGAAATTTCTTCCTGCTTCAAGTATTTGTGCTAAGCCAGGCTAAACAGAGATCAAACTAATATCCATGTGAAAAAAGAGATTCAGAGGAATGTATTGAATCTGTTCTTTTAAGGTTCGGTCGTCGGCTGCAGCAGCTGTTAATAAATCCAAACTTAACCTCGTTCTAATGTCAGTGTTTGCTAATGAGTTTTATTTCTAAACTTGAACAGTTTCAACACAAACTGTGTAGCTAACTGAACCAAAGCTAACATTAGCACACTAATATCTGACCCAGTCACATGGAGAAAGATCAAACCTGAGTCTTGATGAAGTCAAGATTATGTCAGTCTTAAAGATTTTAAATTACATTTCACAAAATAGCACAGCACATGTCAAATTGTAAAATGTCATACCAGTAACATCTGACTGAGTACATAACATGTTATCTTAGCCTATCCAGGTTTTTCCCTCACATTATGAACTGTGTATAGTCACTGTGAAACACAGATTTCTCCACGTCTGCACACAGAAAGAAAAACACCTGAACTGACTCACATCATTCAAGTCTTTACTGAAGTTTAGTTTTCATTTAGGAAATCATTAGTTTGAAACAAGTTAGTATTAGTACTAGTGAGATTACTAGTGAAGGAGACAGGGGATCTGGCTTATAAAGAGCTGCTGCAGCTCAGTCCCTCCATTTGTTGACAGTTTGACACCATGAACTCTGTTAATGATAATAATGATTTTATAAAACACGTTGTGCTTCTGTTTAAGTGGCTTCACTACAGAGCCACCATGTTGAAGCTCTGCTCCTCCACCTCCACCTCCTCTTATCCCTCCTTTTCTGCATCACACCACCTCCTCTCTCTCTCCCCTCTCCCCTAGGAGGGGCCCCCTACTGTCTGCAGGTCTTCACGTTCACCGCTTTACTGTGACAACACTGAAGCCGCGTTTCCACCACCAGGAACCAGGAACCTTTTGAGGAACTATGCGTGTTTAAACCGCAGGAACCAGGGTCTAAATTTAGTTCTGGGGTAATTAATCGACCCCCAAAAAAGTCCCTGGTCGGGGGGTAGTACTTTCCAAAGGTTCAGGAACTTTGGTGGCTGTGGTGTGCAGTGCTGAACATTTCTGACTGGTCGAGTACTCACTGCGTTTTAATTCACTCACCATGTTTAAAAGCCCCGCAGTGAGCAAGCGAGCAAACACATTTTCAACACCGCGAAACAGGTCCGGCAAAAGGAAAAAAAACTGAAAAAGGACTTAAAAAAAATAAAGGACCACAACAACCGGAGTGGCTAGAGTTGCCATGCGTCATGTATAATACGGGATTGTCCCATATTGGAAAATAAAATGCTGTGTCCTGTATTGAATATATACGGGATGAATTTATCCTGTATTTTCGTTCATGTTATGTCCTCAAAGTGCTGTGAATAATGTAATGTCAAGTAATAATTTAGCATAATCTTCCTGGGACTTTAGGCCGCAGTGGAAACACAGACAACAATGGGCCACAGGAACCTTTTAGTTCCTGAAGAAAAGTACCTGGAACTAAAAGTTCTGAAATTTTCAGGTACTTTTTGGTCAAAACGCGCCTTATGGTGGATGTAGTCTCCAGGTAACCAGGGGATGATGAGAGGAGAGGAGGAGGAATGCTGCATTCTTATTCTTCTGACTCATTTAGGTATTGACTGTATCCCCTCTGGTGATGATGATGACGGATGAAGAGGAGAAGTGAAGACCAAACAGCTCTAAAGAAGAAGAAGAGAGTTAAATGTGTGAAGAGTGACAGAGACAGAGAGACAGTAGAGGAGACTCACCTGGTGACCTCATGCTGACATCAGCAGACCTGTGGTCACTGTAACAAACACAGAATCATTACTAACCTGTAGTTAAAGCTCTGTCAGTGTAGTTCACATTAATGCCCCTCCCCTCCCTTACCATCCTTGGTGTCTGGTGGCAGCAGAGCATCCTGCCTGTTGGCGAGGACGAATGCTAACGTGGCCAAGATAGCGGCGTCCAGGACACCCAGGATGGCCAGGATGTATGCCCAGTGGACCGAACAGTTACCTGGAGAGAAGCTGCCCACCTAGTGACAAACACAGGGTCAGAGCCAGCAATACTGGACCAATACCCTTATTACAGGATCAGAGTCATCAGTACTAGACCGATACCATTAAAACAGGATCAGAGTCATCAGTACTGGACCAATACCATTAATACAGGATCAGAGTCATCAATACCTGTAGATACAGAACTACAGAGGACATGGACACAGTCTGGCCAAAAAGACAGGACGATACAAAAAGTCATGGAGGAGGACAAAGAGGAGCGCTGCTGCCAGCTGTGTAATGAAGACAGAGTGGCGACAGAGTTGCACTTTCTAACAAACCAAACACACCATATTCCAGCCAATCAGAACAAAATATTTCCCAAAATTCAAACAAAAACATCCTCAATTCGACCACATGACCAACATTTACAAACTGCCAATATTGCTTGGAGAGCACAGAGAGAGCTGCAGCCTCGCAGCAGAGTGTGTCTTTACTTGCCATATTACACACACACACACACACACACACACACACACATATACACACACACACACATACATATACACACATATGTGTTTGACGTCCTCCCTTTTGCAGAGTATTGTTGATGCTGTTGTATCAATGTGTTTGTACTTTTTCACTGTGATGCAGCCTTATGCAGTCTGCTTTGACAATGCTGTGTCTGACTACGGTCATGTCAATAAAGCTTCCTTGAATTTGAATTTGACATGACTGTTCATCACTCACCGAGTCTCCACACAGAGCTCTCATCTCTGGACTCTCCCACGAATCTGGAAACAGAAGACAGGCCAACGCCAGACAGAAACCTGGGGGAGGGAGAGAGAGAGAGAGAGAGAGTTGCCATATTACATACTGAAGCTCCACCCCTTTGTGTGTCCATCAGTCGTTGTGTTTTCTGTCCACACTGAGACAAACAAGGTTCTACTATTAAACTGAACAGAACCTCCTCGACTTTTCAACCAGGAATAATTATTATGATGTTAGCTAAAATTTAACTACAGCTCCCATGAGTCTTTGCCACTGACACACAAAAACTTCTTGCCGACAAATTCACATTTTACTGTCCAGTACAACAGAACCCACAGCACCAACAGCACCAGAGGTACCAGCAGTACCAGTAGAACCACTAGGACTAGCAGTACTGACTGACCAGCAGTGTCTGTGTTACTGGTCCAGTACCAGCAGTACCAGTAGAACAACCAACTAGTATCTCTGACCTGCAGTGAGCTGCAGCCAGGCGCAGATCTTGTAGACAGTTGCGGCGCTGCAGAACCGGAAGAGGCAGAGACAGAGGACGCTGGTCCACACCGCCCACAGGGACACGCCCACCAACACCGCCACGGACTGGAAGGACGGAAGAGGAGACAGACTGGACAGACCACCACGACAGTCTGGGACAGGCCAGTCTGACTCCACACACACCTGACATACAGACAGACAGGTTAAGGTTACAGGTGATAAAATGTGACCACACAGAATATCTTAATTTTCCTGAGACCATGAGAAGGTCCAGAGGAAACAGTTTGTCTCTCCGTGTGTCTGCTCTCACCTCAAAAAGTCCCAGGGTGCCACTGGGCGCCCCCGGGTGCCGGGTGTCTGTGGTGCCAATCCAGGACGGCTGCACCAGGACGACCACCTGGATGATGGCGAAGCAGAGCGTACAGATGGCCCAGAGGACACCGACCGCCCGGGCGCTGCGAACAAACTCCGTCTGATAGAGACGAGAGAGGTCGGTGAGGGCGGGCGACACCGACATGACTGAGAGAGAGAGAAAGAGAGAGAGGATCACAGACATTATTGGATTATTTTAATACATCTACCCTATGATGAGTACACTCAGGGTTTCTGCAGGTTTACTCACACCAGACCAGTACGATGGAAAACTAGTAGGAAACATCTCAACTGGGATATCTTCAGTGTTCAGATTTTGTTAAAATAGGTTAGATATTTGCATATATGCAAACATTTGTGTACATATCTATGTAATATTTTTTATTATGGGGGGGGGTTTGTTGGTGTTTTTATTAATTAGTTGAGTGTAATATTTTCTTTTTTCACACATAGTAAGTTCAAAATTGACCTTAACATGAAGAGAGTTGAAAAATAAAAAAAAATGTCTCTCTGAAGTGAAGTGTCCGGATGAGCTGCAGTGAACGCGTGGCAGCCAATCAGCGTCCGATAACAAACAGAAATCAAAACATAAACACGGTACCGACGGTTACGTCATCACACACACACACACACACACACACACACACACACACACACACACACAGTTAGATAAACACTATCTATCAGGACGCGCCCGCTGTATCCGGTAAAAAAAACATCATCTGTGATACGAGAGAAGAAGAAACAAACCTGAAGCTGGAGGAGGTCCTCCTGTCTGTCGGTCTGCAGGGTGGGAGGATGCAGGCGGAGGAGAGGATGGAGAGGAGGAGGAGGAGGAGGAGGGAGGGTCTGCAGCCCCGGATGTGGATACTAAAACCGCCTCGAATTTCCTCGCGGGCGTTTAGAGGACAAACATTCAGCTCTGACTCGCGCGCTTCATCAACTCCGTTTCATTTCCAATAAAATATGTTGTGACGTTTCAGTTGACGCAGCTCCGTCACTGTGCCACCTGCAGACGGAGCCGGGAACTACAGTAAAGTCTAGTTGTTAAAGGGCCACTCCGCTGATTTTCCTTATTCTGAGGTCTGGTGACGTCACAGTGACATCATACCATCCGGACTGTGCTACGAACTGCAGGTGTGGCGTTTAAAGACGTCTGTTCATCATTGGAAATGTAGGATCCGGGCTCTTTGCAGTATAAGACAGATTTTTCCTTCTCTGCTGCTCAGACTGTCAGAGGACTCTGGTGTCAGAGCCACATCTGAAACCTTCACAGGATTATTTTGGCTTTTTATATTTTGGATATTTTGACTTGAATGATCAAATTTTATTGTGAAGCTCTTTGTAACTTTGTTTTGAAGCTCTGGCTATTTACTCAAATACTGAAGTACCACATTGCCTGCGGACATCACTTACCTACATCTTGTACTTTTTACTGCACATTAATCTGAGCTCCAGTTACTGGTTTCCTCTGAAATTCCATTGTCTTGATATAATAAACTTTAAAACAATAATATAATAGTTTACATTTAACAGAGCAGACATTTAAATATAAACCATCAGTTTAAATTACAGCAGTAAAACGTTAATTACACATTAAAACATCAGTGACTCAATTATTAAATATATGAGTACAACTCTTGCTTTCACCCACGTCTATTTGTCTTCATCAACGGATGATGATCTGGTTTTAACAACAATCTCTAAATCTGTTGCAGTTCTAGCCACAGACACTTAAGTTTCCATGGACATCAGTAACAAACATTTATAGATGTTTTTAATAATCATCTCTGAGAGAACTGTGGTGTTTGAATATTGAGGTTTCGTAATCGATAAAGTTGTTTTCCTGATAAAACAGCGAGATGAATTTAAGATTCATTAGCTGCTGCTGAGATTGAACATCAAGGAAAGGAAGAAAACAAGGCAGGAAACAACAGTCCGTACAAACAGGTTTAATCATAATAAAACAGAAAAAAGAACAGAGTATTGCACAGCACAGACAACATCTAATCACCACCCAACACTGTCTGACACAGTCAAATCAAATGCACCTCAAACACAGAAACTGCTTTTATCCTGATTCACTGCAGAAATCTTCAGACTCATGTGGAGAAATCAAATACACCTTAAGTGAGGAAACATTTTAAACCTGCTTTTGTTAAAAACATCTGAATTAAAACAGATTGTTAATATGTGAACATCATCACATCAACATCCTGCAGCATCAACTCTGATGTTTTGACTAAATATCTGAACCAATCAGAAGCTTCTGAATTCAACTTTCAAAGTCAAAGACGATTGAGCAGGTGATGTGAACGTTACTATGAGATAACCTTTCTGTGTGTGTGTGTGTGTGTGTGTGGAGACTTGTTTCCTCTGTGTTAACTGTTGTTGTTATGGAGGTGCATATGTTTTCAGGCCTCAGTCATCTTATCTTATTTATTTATTTAGACTTTGATGTGATTAACTTTTTTAATGTTGTGATCAGTTAAAGGTACATTACAAATATTTACAACAGACAGAAATAAATGATAAAAAGAGATGAAAACAGATTTCTGTTCTTTTGTTTTGTTTCTGTTAATGTGCCGCTGCTTGTGGGCGTGGCCTCAGTCACATCATCACCAGTCTGAACTTAAACTGATGTCCTCCCGAGAAAAACTCAATATTCAACGTGTCTCTGATGTCCAATAAACTTTCAACATAAAAAGTCCGGAGTCTGCTGGTGCTTGGTCACATTTTCAGGGAATTGAACCAACAACCTGCTGCTGCTGATGACGATGACGACAACGAAAATGATTAAGACCAACACCGATCTGCAGTTAAAAATATAAAAACATCTTCTGCTTTTGCATGAGTTTGTTTTTTGGCAGTTGTGAGACACCGTAGAGAGATTCAACTACGTTTCCCACAAAGCACCACTTCTGCTGGTTTCCATGGCGACTGTCCAATCACATGCTGCTGAAGGAAGAGAGATTGAAAAAGAGAGAAAAACAAATACCGGCATCTGTCTCGTCCTCCTCCTTAGCTCCATGGAGGGATCTCCTCTCCAAACTTGGCACAGTGAGCAGCGTTTTTAGCCTCAAACAGAATCTGAACAGAGAAAAGATGAAATCACATGTTTAGTATCAGGGGTCATCAGCTGCTTGTCTGTAGTGACGTCATCAGTCAAACACAGAAGGGTAGAGCAGCTTCATATTGACTGATGCCTCCGTCACTTCAATGTCACAGCAAGTGAAGGTGAAGCTGTGTATTCACTGACTCTCAGACCTTCAGTCTCTCCATGTGTTAATGGATCAAACATCTGTCCTCCCTCCTCCTACTCCTCACACAGTCTGTGTCCTCTGTCTTCGTCATCACACAAACCTTGTCTCATTAAAGAATGAGTTGATCTGATCCCTGATCAGTTCATCTGAATGATCAGTGAGAGCCAGAGCCCCCATTTTTGTGGAGCGTAGTTGTTAGTTCGCTGCTACTCTGTCACTGTGGTAACTAAACTGATGTAGGTCAGAACAGAGCTTCAGGTGCATCACTAGCTCCTCCTGGACTGTCGGAGGACTGACCCTGATCCACATGTAGACCGAAAACAAGATTCATGATCTGACCAACAGAGACACAGAGATGTGACTGAGGCCAGATCTGATTTGATCTGATAAGATCTGATACCAGACGCTTGAAGTGTCAACGGGGTCTCACTGCGTCTCTCACACAACATGCACAGAGTGGCTCTTACCTGGTTGTGTACGTAGGCCTCACACAGGTAACACCACACAGAGAGATCAGAGAAGCTCAGAACCATCGGGTGTTCAGACACAGCACCGTGAGTCACCATGTGTTCATTAACATAACGACCACAGAACACCTGCACGCGCACACACGCACACACACACACACACACACACAAAGAAAGAGTGAGAAAATCAGCTGTAGCAGTGAAAAATGACCTGATACTGGATCACAGTGGGAAACAGGCACAGGAGCCTCGGACCTACAGAGGCTGAAAGAGTCCAGAGTGGTGTTTAATTTGATTAATTACAACTGTATGTGATGAACAGGTAAGTCAGGTGACCTGGTAGCAGGTGAGACAGATCCAGTTCTCAGCATCGGAGCCACAGTCCTGACACGGCAGGTGGACGTCTATATTCGAGGGGGGGAGGGGCTTAACGGCATCCAGGTGAGGACACCAGGACAGAGGGTCGACCACATACAGAGTAGACTGAAGACAGAGACAGAGACAGAGGTGAGACAGAGACAGGTGAGAAATTCAGACTCATCTGCTCAGAATCAAAGAACCAATCATATGATGTATTTCCTGACTCCGTCTGTCTGTCCTCCACACAGCAGCTCCACATTCATCTCAGGCCTCGACCAACCACACGCTCCCTCTGCCTCACCCTCCATCCCCGCTCCACCAGCAGCCTCGTCACCAATAGCAGCCAACTCTGACGCTGCCATGGCAACAGTCTGCAAACAGTTAACGAGATAAACCAATAAGTCATCAAATAATTTATAAAACAGTTACAGTAACAATACAAGGGGTACCTGTACCCCTAGGTTCAGAAAACACCTGTAACCATGGAAACTAAGGTGGTGACAGCTGTGATAAGAAGATAAATAAAACACCTGAATGAAAATGGGAATTAACTCACCTGAGTCTGAGATGGTGTGCTGTCTGCTGATTGGCTCTTCTCAGGTGTGGCTGCATTAGACTCCGCCTTCACTTCACCTTCACAGGTAACCTTCTCTGGGCTCAGGCGTACCTTCGGCCTGGCCCCGCCCACTGGAGTGGATGTAGCAGGAGTGTGATTGGCTGAGGTCTGACTGATGTCCAAACTGGCCAGTCCCTCAGTGAGTTGGTCCAGATTGCGCTCTATCTGATTGGACGAAAACATCAGATAGACACACAGTCATATGATCTGATTTCATCATGTTGACTTTATTCTCTGACATCTGACCTTTCATAGAGTATTACCGTGGTGTCCCCTGGTCCTGTGGGGGGTAGCGGAGGTTTGTCTGAGGTTCTCTGCTCTGACTTCCTGCCTTTTCCTTTAGAACTACGTTTCCCACGATGCTTCGGGGATGGCAAGGAAGCCCGAACAGACTCTGTGACTAAAAGACGAGTCAAGTTTTTAATAAAATAAAAATAGGAGCCAATGGAGTACTATATAATTAAATAAAACAAATTTAAAAAACAAACAAACAAAAAATTAAATAGAATAAGATAAAAAAATTTTTAAAAAATCCTGTCCTTACTGTGTATCCTCAGGGACCTCCAGTAGGGGGCGTGGTGTCGGATAACCTCATTGATCGACGCCACGGCACTGTGATGGGGAGGGGGGAAGGGAGTCACCAGGGATGGAGGAGGGTCTCCTAGCAACACGCTGGTGCACATTGCCATGGAGTCAGAGATGGATGACAGGTTGTAGCCTCCCTGAAGAGAGACAGACAGGTCAGCCCACAGGGGGGCAGGGTCACTAACCTCACCAGCTTACATGTGAGTGGTGCTCTGCATGTTAAAGACAGTTCTACAGCACAGTTGAATGTAGTTCAGTTTTTATGTCCACAGGTTTGAACACAGGTCAAATCTGTGTGTGTGACTCATAAGAGAGAGTCAGTGTCAGTCATCTCTTTTACAGCAACAAAGAGTTTATATCAACGGATGTTGTTCACCTTTTATTGTTCTTTGTCTTAGTTTTGAAAACTATGGTGCCCCTTGTGCTTTGAGGGATGTAAACAGGAAATATAATGTTGCAGACTCAGTGAGTTAGAGTCCTGTGTATTTTTAACTTATATCTGTTCACATGTAGTCAAACTGTCTCCTAAACAGGAGCTGTGATCAGCTCATGATACTCAGACAACTGTCAATGGCAGTGTTGTCCATGAACGGCATTCATTGAACACATTCGTATTTTTTGTGAACGCCGAACTGAATGAATCAGTTTACAAATGATGAACGTGAACGTGAACGGCCGCTCACGTTTTACGAGTATTACGGCACGCCGCATGACGCCTCCATAGACACGGCCCAGCATGGCTAGTGCTAGCAGCATAGACGGTACAGTACAGACGCATCTACTACTGCTGAAGCCAGTTTGTTTGAGCATTTGAAGCAGTTTTATGAAGACAGACAAGTGAAGACTCAGAAGGATTATATTTATATACGGATTTTAAATGTAACTCATGTCTGTGATTCTTCAGTGTATACAATAATTCATTTAGTTTGGGAGTTGCAATGATTTGGGGCTTGTGATGGATGGGTAGAAGGAGGTTCTATTGAAAGAGAATAGCGGCCTATTTATTTTAAAAAATGGAACAAATGAACGTGAACTAGATCATTTTCATCGTTATGAACTGAACTTTAAACTAGCTCTTTTTAAACAGCTGTTGACTTCACTACACCACAGTTTGTTTTACATGAATTCTCTTCACTTTGTAAAATCACAGAACATCACGACTCACCTCCAGGATGAGTAGGACCCTCCCCCCAGCCAGTGACATCAGCAGGTGTGTAAGGTGGGCATATCCCTCCGGGGTCACATTATATCCACCTAGCGGATCCCCCCGAGCTGCATCGAACCCAGCCGACACCAGAACCAGACCAGGGTTAAACTGCAGAGAGAGGCCAGACCAATCACAGGACATGTCACTTCTAATCACTGTCTGTGTGTGTGTGTGTGTGTGTGTGTGTGTGTGTGTGTGTGTTGTTACCTCGGTAGCGATTGGCATGACAACGTGGTGAAAAGCAGCAAGGTAGTCAGAGTCACCCATTCTTCCTCCACTCCATGCCACATTGACATTAAACCCCGCCCCTCTGGCCACGCCCACACGGTCGGGGGCAGCATCCTCTGAAGACGGGAAGAATGTCCCATTGTCATAGCGATGGAGGGAGATGTACAGAACGCTGGAGACAGCAAGAGAGTCCATCACCACTTAAATGAATTCACTTCACATCACATACTCTTCCTTCTCCTCCTCCTCACCTGTCGTCATCCTCGAACATGTGCTGTGTCCCGTTGCCGTGGTGAACATCCCAGTCCAGGATGAGGACTCTCAACGGTGCATGATGGGAGATTTTCTGGGCATGGCGAGCGACGAGTGCAGCGGTGTTGAAGAAGCAGAAACCACAAGGAGAGTCTCTCTCTGCATGATGACCAGGAGGCCGGACGATGGCCACACCATTACTCACCTATAGAGAGGACAACTGTAAGGACACTTGAACAGTAAACTCAGGATATCAGGAACTGGTTTACAGCTGTTTAGACCATCAGGGTCTGGTTTACCTGTCCTCTCAGGATCCTCTCCACAGCACTGAAGCAGCTCCCAGCAGACAGCTGAGCAGACTTGAAGCTCTGGTTGTTGATGTAGATTGAGTTGAACTCTTCGCCTAGTTTGTGCAGATCTCTGGGCTTCATCACTGCTGTGGCTCTCATCTGCTCAATGTGCTGCACACTGAACACACACACACACACACACACACACACACGTAAACTGACTGTGGATCAGGAACAGGTAAACTCACAGTGGATCAGTGTGTTAAAGTGAATGTACCTGTGACACATGGTCAGCTCCTCCTCTGTTGCTAAGCGAGCTGGTATCCGTTGGCAACGATCGACCAATCCCAGCTGCTGATGTCTGGAGAAGATCTTGGAGATCCTCTGAGGCTGTTCAGGATGATGCCTGTTTGATATCATTAATGTTAATTACATCATCACTTCCATGACATCACAGCAGCAGATGACTCACCTGTCCCACATGTTCAGGTGCTCCATCATCCTCTCATCATAAACCAGACCTGTTGTCGTGGCAACAGAGGGGGCGGGGCTGTTCTGCTTTGTGCTCTCCTCATTGGTTGTTGCTCTGATGACTCTGCCTTCAGCCAATGAGCTGCCTTCTGCACAGGAAACAGGAAGAGAGAAATTCCCAAACTTTGTTTTTTTTTTTATTGAAGTAGAAAATGTACAACAATATATGGCAAGTGATTTATTAGTAGCAAACTCTTCAGAAAACAGAGCCCCATGTAAAGAGCGACAATCAGTACAAATTGAGAAGGAAAAAAAAATTATACAAATAGAAAATAAATAACATATTTAAGGTGATTCTTCTAATAATTGAAAGATATCCACTATGTTCAGTAGTTTTTGCTGCTTTCTGTTCCACATAATTCAGTGATTTGCAGTATAGAGCTCATTCTTTCATAAAAACCACCAATAAGGGTTGTCTTAATACATTTACATTTATGGATAAGTTCCATAAATTTCTAAAATAAATAAGGTATTTAAAGTTATAATGTGTAAATTTCAATTAAAATGTCTAAAAACAACTTGACCTATGTTCTGTATGTTGTTGAGTTGTGTTCTGACATTACACCAAATGTTTCCATCAATTCTCAAACCAGAGAAATCTGTGATTTTAATCATGGTAACAGTATGCGTCATTGGTCACCTATCAATGACATCATATCCTCATGTGTCGGTGCTGTGGTTGCTTGCCAGAAGCTCAAAATTGAAGCCACATACACTTTTTACACCTTGGTGGTTTTCAACTATATATTTTAACCAGATGAAGGATTTTAGTCATCAGGCGTCTGGATCTGAAGTTATCAGAGAAAAAAGCTGAGTAAATGTTAGACAGCTCAGCTCCCAGCCCTCCAGAGGCCAAATCTGCAATTCCAGATGGAAACATCATGTGGTGTGAAACTGTGCTAATAGTTTCCGATATGACAGTAATTCACAAACTAAACAGACTTGAAAACCGCATGTGCGTGTGTGTGTGCGTGCTTGTATGTGTGTCTCACCCAGTACTTGTAGAGAGGCCCAGTGTGGATACAGAGCAGTGACTGTCTGGGAGATGGACTGCAGAGCACTGAGAGAGACAGGTAGTTAGGACATGCTCAGTAGGAAGTGATTCACCTGTACGTTGCTGCAGACAGGTGAGAGGTTAAACCACTGCAGGTCAGACATGAGTTACAGGGGGTTCAGTTCTCGTTACCTCAGCAACACGTTAATAGCTGTGGTATGAACATTACCATAGACTCATATCTTCCAACATCACTGATGGTCAATGTGAAATGCATGTTTGGATAGTGAACTGGTCTAGATGTGGACTCTGAATGTGAACAGTACTCAGACTGAGGAAGGTCAGGGCCAGGTGTTACCTGTCAGATGGAGCTGTGGGAGGAGTCAGAGGAGGACATGCTCCTCCCAGCAGAGCACTGACACAGGCTGCAGCGCCCTCTGCTGTGGACTGCAGGTTATAACCTCCCTACACACACACACACACACACACACACACACACACACACACACACACACACACACACACACACACACACACACACACACACACACACACACACACACACACACACACACACACAGAGAATCATGTTACCCAGCACAGCCTTTCAAGTCTTTACAGCTCTGGTCACATGACACTACTCAGCCAATCACTGAGTGTGAGTGACACAAACACAAGGGAGAGATGACAGAGAAATAAGTCCTCTGTTCTGTACTTATTACTTATTACAGCCATTTCCATGAAATGCTAAAAGAACACATTATTATTATATCATTATATAACATATATAACACATGTAACATATGTATAATTTTTATCATAAATTATTATCCTGTGTCTAACTGGATCTCTTTGAATTTGAATTGAATACATTTTAAAAAATATCATAAAATCATTATACAGAGTCTGAAATGATAAAATAAATGAACCAGTGCTCAGAGCTTTTATTTTGACATTCAGTCCTTCAGAGTAATGTAACACCTCTGTTTGCTCTCATGAAACACTGTGTATTTGACATCATCAGTGTATTTATCCACACAGGTGAAACGGGATCATCAACATGATAAAGTCAGACAGTTTGATGCTGCAGAGACGATCTTCCTCATGTCTGAAGACTAATGACAGACTGAATCTCAGGTTCCTGATCAGAGCTGAACTGGAACAGATTAACTGGTGTGTGAGGTGATCGGTGCAAAGACGACCCACACCTCAGCATTCATTCATTACAACACACACACACACAATGAAACACAACTTGTCATCTCACACACTGATATTAAAAACAGAGAGTTTTACCTCGAGAGCGAGAACGAGTCGACCTTCAGCCAAACTCATCAACATGTGAGTCAGAGCATGGAAACACTGAGGACTCACACACATCTCCCCCTGAACACACACACACACACACACACACAGGAGAAATGTTTACCAACAATAAACCCACTAATAACAGTAAGAATCACTGAGCTCAGGTCTGTGCTGTTTGTACCTTCTCATCTCCGACTGCAGCATCGAATCCAGCAGAGACCAGAACCAGCTGAGGCTGAAACTGAACACACAACACTCATTAATGCATGTAGTGTTTTGTGTGTGTGTGTGTGTGTGTGTGTGTGTTACCTCATAGGCTACAGGCAGCAGCAGTTGTTGAAAAGCAGCGATGTAATCAGCGTCAGTCATCCTTGTCTGAACAACACACACACACACACACACACACAGACACACACACAGACACACAGACACACAGACACACACACACACACACACACACACACACACACACACACACACACACACACACACACACACACAGCAGGATGAAGAAATAAAAACTGCGTGTTAACAGGTCAAATTGGACAGGAACAACACAGAGCAAATATGACAGAAGTGCAAAAGGAACACAACTACACCTGAACATCTGCAACAGGATCCACAAGACAGAAAAACAAACAGAAAACAGAATAAAGTAGTAAATCAATGAAATAAAAATGTCATGACTGAATTAACATAAATAAACTCAGACAGAGACAACAGACACATCAGGACTGGATCTCACAAAGAAACCTTAAAAGTGAAGAGAGTCTTTTACAGTAAACATGTTGTCTGTTTCTTGTCTGTTCAACACCAAGAACCATGAAGAAAAACATGGATTATGATCCTGTGTCCTTTTTTTTTTAACTTAATTAATGAATAGTTCAATTTTAATGTTTTCCGGCCTTTGCTGTCTTTCCTGTCGTCTGACGTTCACAGGACCAGCTGATTTCCTGTTGATTGCATCACATGTTCTCACTGTAGCAGGAGCCAGAGCTCATGAGAACAGGAGGACTTACCTGGTTCCAGGGCAGGTTGATGTTTCTTCCTTCGCCTCGTCCACTACCGACAAATTGACTGTCAGACTCTGGGAGGTGGGGCCAGAAAGAGCCCTGCTCATACCTATGGACACTAAAGTACAGGACGCTGGGGAGGGAGGGGGAGGGAGGGGGGAGGTGTTGGGGTGTGTTATAACAACAGAAACGTCTGTAAAGTTTGTGACAGACAGAAGATGGAGAGGAGCTGTTTACCTAGGGTCCTCCTGGAACTGGTACTGGATCCCCTGACCATGATGAACATCCCAGTCCACTATCAACACCCTGACACACACACACACACACACACACACACACACACACACACGTACATCATTAAAGCGTCATGTGAACAACAAGACCTCTGAAAGAAGTCGGTGCTGGTGAAATCAACATTTTTATAATGTACATCATTTATTCATGTGATGTTTAACAATATATGTCAGGAGAAGACAGGTAATGTATGTTGGTTAGAAAACTGATAATATAAGAACAATAAAGATTCTTTAAAAGCATCTCATTTTATTTACACCTCCTGAATGAAAACATGGATTAATATTCAGTATTATCAGTATATATCAGTGTCAGAAAAACAGAACTATAACACCTGTATCTGCATAAACCAATCAATAAATCAGACACTAATTAATCATTAAGCATAATTTACAGGTGATAAAGAGCTTGTTTTAGCTCAACCTGAGACAGTAAGGTGTTTCTGTCCTGACAGTTCATCAGTCTGTGCTTTTATTCAGTTAAACCCTGAACTACATGACTGTCTCCACCTTCTATCACCACACACACACACACACACACACACACACACACACGCACACACACACACACACACACACACACACACACACACCTACCTGCTGACTGAGTGTGTGGTCTGAGCGTATCGAGCTGCAATTGCCACGTTGTTGAAAACACAGAAACCGTTGGCCTGGTTGGCCTGAGCATGATGACCTGGAGGTCTGAGGGAAACAGGTGTGTTACTGTGATGTCTGGATCTGATCTTGTGTTCATGTGATTAAAGTGAGCAGCACCTGAATGCAGCACAAGGAGCTGCTGGTGTTACCTGATGACAGCGAATCCATTTCTGAGTTCAGAGGTCATCACCTGATCAACCAGCTGGAGGACTGAGCCCACCGCCAACACACACACCTGGAAGGACTCCTACACACACACACACACACACACACACACACACA